CTTCAGAAATTGAACAGAATTGAATTAATTTGATAAGTGTTGTCAGAAGTGTAAAATACATTGTTAAGCTGTAATTTTTGTCAAGACTGTAATCTTCGTCTGTTGTATCTCGTCGAATACTCAAACTACCAAAAAAGTTACTTATAATACTATATTATATTATATTTTTGTGAATACATGAATCATTATTATCACATTGAACATCTAGTACAAGCTCTCATTGGCAAATTTCTTTAAGTTTTTTATTGATAATTTTTTTAATTTGATTTTTTAATTGCACTTTTACAACTCTTTAGTTTGTCAACACTCGAGGAGATCTGGAGTTTAATGCCGAACGGCGAGTGCGACAAATCGCGTATGCGGGACACAAGTGGAATCCGAATTCACATCGAATTCAGATCCACAGATCGCGAGTCAATCGCACTGAGAGCGGCGAGCTATTTGGCGAATTGATACATAAGCAAGTATTTCGCATCACGAAACACGAGTTATTTGAAATAACTTTTTTATTCAACAAATAAAATAGCATTTTATTAAAGTTTATCTGTTAAAAAACTGTCAACATTGCATAAATGTTTTAAAAATTTTAAAATATTGTTATTCTTTACACATATTATTCCTTTTAATATTTCAAGGTCTTCCACTGTTACATAAAGTTTGAAAATTAGCGTGCAATAAGTATAATATTAGCACTTTTTTTATTTATCACACGCTTACATGCATTACGAATATAATCACCAATTGGCAACTAGTTCCATAAAAGGAAGCGCAACATAATACTGTCAACAGTAGTCATCGAATTTCTGTTAGTAGATTACCTTAGACATATAAAAGTATATAACATCGATAATTGACGATCTTTGATCAGGCAAACTTTAACAAAATGTTATTTTACTTGTTGTTAAGTAAGAAAATACAAAATATTATTTCAAATATTTCATGCATAATGTGAATTGTTTATACATTAGTTAATTGATTCTAATATCTTCATTGTATTGTGTAATTCTTATTAGTTGCTGCATCGCCGTTTCTTATCAGCGCGATTCAACAAGTAAGTGAATATTCTTTTATGCGATCTCTTGTAAGAGATATATGGATAAATATTTACACTATTCAACAAGACATTTGAATATGTTATAATATCAAAAAATATAATCGTATTCTATACTAAGCGCAATAAGCTATGATACAGATATATCATAATGTTTGTAGATCGTTCGAGTTCTTAATAATTAATATATAACAATGATATTCTTATTTTATATGTTCCATATGAATAAAAATATTATAATGAAAAATTTGCATACACTCTATTCATATTTTAATATTTATTTTAATATTTTGATCAATCAATATCATGTAAAGTGTTTCGTATAATTTTGTATTTTTGGAAGTAATATTTTCGTAATATTTTCGAAAAAAAAATCGGGAATCTAATATTCGAAAGTTTAATTCGATAAACATTATAGGATTTGGATAACGTAGTGAAAATAGTTCAAATGGATGCTAACAGTCCAATGGCTTATAGACAATTTAATGGAGAGAAAAGGGATGATTCATCCCTAACCTGCAACTCTAATGACCCATTCAATAAATGCTTGCAGGAATGCTTTGTATAACTATAATTTTTTATTAAAAATCTTTTACATCTTTTTTTGAAATATAAGTTTAATGTCAAATCTATAATGTCATTCCTTTGACAGATAATATTGGTTTACGATCCTATTTGTGGAACGGACAAAATTACTTACATGAATCGATCACAACTAAAATGCGCGCAATGTTGTGGAAAAAGTGAGATACTTTATTAAAATTTCAATATATTTAAGTTATTTATTATTTACATGAAAGACACATGCAGTAGTAACAAACTTTTTGTTAGTGTAACAATGATCTCAAAGACTTTTTTAGTTTATCACTAAAACTGGTTGTTTTAATGTTTTCCAACAAGACAAAGAGATTCTTTTTGTCAATTCTTTTAATCCGTCTTTATTATTATTATCATTCAAATCTTTGAAGTTACATTAATTATATTTTTGAAACAATTAAATTAATAGTTACTACAATGCAAATTAAAATTACAAAAATTACTAAAATTATAAAAAGAATTTTCTTTTTTACATACAAGATGAAAAATCATTCTTCTAAATATTCTCGAGTCCAGTATTAATGAATAATACAACAGCAAATATTAATTTACCAGTATTTAATAATATTTGTACTAAAAAATATTAAAAAATGATGAAAAATCTTATATATAATCAGAACGTAAGAAAATGCAAACAATGTGATTAAAATAATCAACATACAATACTTTTTGTTTACAGATGTAACGATAAAATATCCTGGAAACTGTACAAACTGCAACTGAATAACTTATAGTTTTCATTGTAATACAATTATTATTATAATAAATGTTTTAATCAAAATTAGCAAATGTAAGAAAAATAAACAGAACACACACCATATATATATATAATGTAATAAATATATATAATATTATATGTATTAAATATCTTTATTTGTGTGCTTTATAACAGAAAATAATAGTTTATTGATTTTTTCATTTTTATCTTTATATTGTGAATGACTTTAAAATTAACGTTATGGTATTTTATGATATTTAAATGTTATTATTGTTAACATATAGATAGAATATATCTAAGTATCTCATATAAAGTATATAAAATTATAAATACATATATCGTCTAGACAAGATTTTTGCTTCTTATAGATCACAGGTCTGATAATTATAGCGAAATTATTCCAACTATTCCAAGCTTGTACTGTCGGAATGCAGTAGGCAGAGCGATTTCTCTAAATAATCGATAATTTACGCAGACGATATCTGAAACCGTCGACATTGCTATTACATCTCTTTTCGCAAAAAAATCGATTGAGTGAATCAAATCATTCACAAAAACAGCCGAAAATATAAAGAATATACCTGTTTTACGTTAAATCTCGTTACATCATGCCTGATTGCCAATAATACATTTCAAAATTTCACGCAATCGATCTTCATTATACCAATACATGCAAGTTAAATTCAATTCAAATGCAACTAGATCTTGCAATTTGCAGAAAGGCAGATCGATTTATTTACTTAGTTATGTTATGACAATGATCCTGTAAATACTCATCTCGATATGTCGATGGTCTGTAAACTTGCGGTCTTGTTGCCTCTCGACAACGTCTGTCGATGGATGGAATCATTGATTGACGAAAGCTTGCCGTACGATATTATGCGGATGTAATTGTAAATAAAAAGAATATGAATAAAACAAATAGTAATAGTAAGTAATAGGAAGTAAGACCGCTATTTTTATCGTTATTTTTTATAATAACGATTTGGTAATGACATTGCAATTTTTTTTTATACTAAAAATAATTAACTAAACGCTAAGATTGGGAGAGTTACTTTTGAAAAGTAACTCGTCACCATATTACAGATTGCTTATTTATTAAATAGACTTTAACTTTTCATTTACTTTTAAAAAATAAATTTAAAGTTGAATTTACAATAGCATTCTTAATTGTCACAGACGACATTGGAATTCGATCCTATTTGTGATACGAACAACGTTATTTATAGCAATCGAGGAAAATTGCATTACGGGCAACGATGTGAAATAGATAAAATACTTCATAAAAACATTTTTTTTATTTAACAATTGTATTTATTTTACTATATGAAGGATATATGCACGGTAACAATACAAAACAAGCTTTCTATCAGAGTGATAATGTCTCGAAGAGAAATTTTTCATTTTAAAATGATTAAGTTAGTTGTTTTAATATTTTTCAAGTCACATAGTTTCTATCAATTTTTTAAATTGCCATTATTATTATTATTATCATTATTGCTTAAATCTTTTAAGTTATATTAATTATAGAAAAAAATTGATATTAATTCATAAATTATGAGGAAAAAAGATAAAATTAGATAAGATAATTTTTTCTTTTCTTTCATATATATCCCATATATACGTAACATAAAAAGAAAACTATTCTTCTAAATGTTCTCGGTTATTCTAGCATTAACAGATTTTGCAACAACAAATATATTTGCCGGACATATTTATACATTTAACAATCTTTGTCCTATAAAATATACAAAATAATAAAAAATCTTACATATAGTTATAGTACAAGGCAGTGCGATTGCGAATGCAGTAAAATATATTCTCAACATACAATATTTTATATTTACAGACGATAAAACCGAAAAATCGTGGAAAGTGTACAACAAACGAAACTAGATAACTTAGAATTTTCATTATAATATAATTTATGATAATAAATGTTTTAATGTAAGATTGGCAAACTTAAGAAAAATAAACATATAAGAATGATTCAAATATGAACAAGATTTTTTTTTGTGTGAATATAAACCGCGACATTGGTTTTTATACTGAGTGACAGATAGAGATATCTGCCACTCTTTGTTCGAACATCGTGACAATAACTACAGAAACAATTTCCACGAGGCTACAACTATGTCGAGCGTGAGTAGATGTCCTTACTTGTCACTCAGCGTAAATACATCTACTAACATTGATTTGTATTCAACACAAAAAAAGTTTTGTTCATATCTGAATCACTTACAC